AGGTGTTCTCAGATGTTCCACAGGTGTTCTCAGATGTTCTGAGGTGTTCTCAGATGTTCCACAGGTGTCGATGAGACTGAAGGAACATATATTAGTACTTACTCCTCTGTCTGTTTGGCTTTACACATGCTTGCCAGCTCCTGTTTAACAAAAGGCTTTTCTAACAGTTTTCATTTCCAACTAAATGAAATCCTTCCATTGTAATCTTTTATTGTGTTATGCCTCATTTCAACCTTGAAACTAAAAATGAATGTACCTCAGTGTAAAGGAAAACCAAAAAAGTCTACAAACATTTCTCTAATAGGCCTGACATGAAAACTACTGGTTCACTCATTAAAAGAAATAAAAATCTCTAATTCATTGTTATGTAAAAGCATCAGGCCTGTCAAAGGATAAATCTATTGCTAACAAAGAATCAATATTTTCCAAATAAATTGTTGTTTACTTGTAAATTTGAAAGAATAGGATTATATGACGAATATGCCACATAAATACTGATTTGTGACTCACTGTGTGAGCAACGGCAGAGGAATCCAGATAAAGGATAGGCTACTCCGTTAATGGTTGCTGTGGCAACTACACTGACAAGAGGAGGGATGCAGGGGCACTGTGGGTGGCAGTAGTAGAGGGGGTTATAATGGCATCATCCACTTACAGTATTGATTTGCACACATATGCATCCAGCTTTTAAATGACTTCTTTGTGAATCAGCGCACATTCAGAAGGTCTGCACGGCCTCATTCTCCCGCTTCCACTCAGCACTCCGGCTGCTGGAGGCAGCTGCACACAGATTTAGATCTGACAGCCTAATTACAGCTGTGCAAACATGCACGCACCAAGTGCATGTATACATCTCTGTTCACACATAATGCAGAAAATCATACGGAGCACAGTCTGACCCAGTTTTATGCATCTCTGGGCACTCTCTGTCTTCCTCTCTCCATGTCTCTTGGCTTCTCAGTTGCCTAATTTCTCTCTGTGTGTCTCCTTTTCTCTCTGCTGCTGCTGCCACCATGATACCCTGCTCCTTTGTAGTCACTGTGGTCGTGACTGTGTTGACTAGATCTAGAGGCAGTTGAGGATTAGATATTTTATGCACCGACTGTGAATCTGACTTTCTAAATGTGTGTGTGTGAAGCTTTTTTGTCAGCAGGAATCAGATTCTGTCGGGGGGACATGACTAGAGGTGCTTTGGGACACGGAGCACAATGTGTCTGTGTGTTTATTCAAAAGGGTCACAGTGCAGTAATGGGCTACTCCACAGCACTGCTATTCCTGCTTAAATGGAAGCCAGTGTCACTGCAGAATGTGTAAAATCTATGTTATTCAGTGTAGATGTGGCAGGTTCACAATAAAAGGGTGATAAATGTTTGTCTGGGTTTGCATTAAAAAGAAGGGTTTAGAGATCCTCCTGTTGGTCCATCTGAGCAAACAAACTAGAAGCTATCAGGATCTCCTGTAATTAACTTCTCACTATGGAGTGCATTTAGCAGGCAGCTTTCTGATCCAGTAGCACGGGAGCACCACAGGGGACGGTACTCTCTCCTTTCCTTTTTCCTCCGTTTACCTCGGACTTCCAGGACCAGACAGAGTCCGCAGTCAGACTCTGCAGTCATTGGGGGCATCAAAGATGGAGCAGAAGCTGACAGAGAGCTGGTGAAGCGCTTTGTGGAAACATGGTGTGGAAACAATCATCTGATCCTGAAGGTCAACAAAACAAGGAGATGATTGGAGATTTCAGAAGAAACAGGAACAAGTTGAATCCTGTTAGCATCCTGGGAGAAGAAGTGGAGGTGGTGGAGGAGTAGAAATCCTTTGGTGTTCATCTGGACAACAACCTGGACTGGAGACACAACTGGGAAGCCGTCTGCAAGAAGGGACAGAGCAGACTGGACTTCTAGAGGAAGCTGAGGTCCTTCAGAGGCGGAAGATCTTCTATCAGTCTGATCTCTGCCTTCATCATCATCATCATCATCATCATCATCATCATCATCATCATCATCATCATCATCATCATCATCATCATCATCAGAGCTGATGACTGAAAGAAGCTTAACCAGCTGATAAAGAAGGCCGGCTCTGTTCTAGGAAGTCCTCTAGAACCTCTGGAGATGAAGAAGATGATGGACAGCACTGAGCATCCTCTTCATCAGACTGTTAGACACCAACAGAGGGTCTTCAGGCAGAGGCTTTTCTACATCTGTTGCAGACAGACCTGTACAGGAGATCATTCCTGCCTTCAGCATCAACAGCTCTTTGAAAAGCTGCCCATTAGTTTCTGCAACAGTTCATTTCCTTTGGGATTAATAAAGTATTTTTGAACTGAATTGATGCTTTAGGTGTCGTCTGTTTTCCCTAATAATGACTTGATGTGTTACTCCAGCTAATATTCTTTTAGGAACCAGTCTGGGATTTGTAAACCTTCAAAGATGATTGTGCCTTTATGGCAGCGGCACCGAGCTCTGGAATAACTTGCCTTGCCTTATTTGATCGGCATGCTCCTTAGAGGATTTTAAACCTCTCTAAAACCAATTCTTCATCCTGGCTTTCAATCAAGCCTAAGTTTAAAATTTATTTTATTTAAATCGAAACATTTATCCTATTATATTTTATCTCCATTCATTTTTTCTTTTTGCATTGTGTTTATGTATTTGTAGCTTTCAGTTTTCATCCAATGCTCTGCAACTGTGGTTTCTTTGCAGCACTTCGGTCAACCACGGTTGTTTTAAATATGCTTTATAAATAAAGTTTGAGTTGAGTTAAAATAAATATTTATAAAACCTTAGATTTATGTCACTGAACACTACAGCAGTAGACTCAGCCTAATATATCTTTTCAATGTATATCTCTTTAAATAAGAATTATTATATGTGGTTTTCTTCCAGAACTATGGTTTAGAAACGGAAAACCTCAGAACACTGTCCCACAAGCTAAACGCCTCAGCTAAGAACCTCCAGAACTTCATCCTTGGCCGACGAAGGGGTGGTCATTATGATGGACGAGCTTCCAGAAGGTTGCCCAATGATTTCCTTACATCAGTGGTGGATTTAATTGGCGCTGCTAAGAACCTGCTGGCCTGGCTTGACCGGTAAGGACTCCTTTTATGCTTTAAACATTTGTACAACAATCTTTAAACAAATCAAAGGAGATGTTGCATTTAGTGGGTTTTTTGGTGGGTTGTTCTAATGCAACAAAGAGTTGGTTTATTTCTCTTTAAAATACGCCACATTGGTTATTAAAATGCTTCTGTGAGTAGGCTCAGAAACACCTAGCTGATCAGTGTTGTGACAATGTTAACCTACTTTTTACTGGTTATCAAACTGGCCGCAAACTGCTATAAAGATGGAATCCCATTCTTCAACCAGCTCCTGTTAACAGTCAGTAAATAGGTGCTGATGGCTGCATGAACAGCAGCACCTAAGCTGGTTCCATAAGGTTTGTTATTCCTTTATCCCAGTCAGCAACTAGTGGTCATTTACCTGAATCATCCCTTCAGGTAAATGATCATCCATCCTTCCCTGTCCTGTGAAACAACTGGATGGAGAAACATTACATAAGAACGTTCCCTCCAGGAAGCACCTGCTGTGACAGCACTGCGCCTGCACTGCGAACGAATGCCCACCTTCTCCATGCATGACATCAAAGTGGAGACAAAAAAGCTTTTATACCTTTTAATCTGCAATGGGCAGGATCTTATCATTTTAGCGAATGTCTAAGTCGTGACGATCAGTTTTTTGGCTACTTTGTTCGATTGTCAAAGGAGTTGTGAAATGCCGATGTAATGAAATGGGAAGGGAAAGGCAGCTGCTTACCCCAGGTCAAAATGAGAGCCCCCTTGGGTTCCCAGACCTAAGATCCCGTGAACTTCCAGGTCCAAACAACCTAAATGGTTGTGTCCAACCAGTCAGACATTGTGATCATTGATCAGCAGCAGAGGACGGCCGTAGTGATGGATGTGGCCATCCCAATGTTGGAAACAAGAAGCTGGAGAAATACCAAGGACTCAGTGAAGAACTACAGAGCCTGGAAAGAGAAGGCAATGTTAGAGCCAGTGGTCATCAAAGCACTGGGGGCAGGGACCCCCACACAGGACAAGTGGCTCCAACCATCAGTCCAAGAGAGTGCATTCCTAGGAACAGCTTAGGATACTGAGAAGAACCCTCAAGCTCTCTGCCATCTGGGGGAGGAGCTAGAGATGAAATATGTATATATATATATATATATATATATATATATATATATACAGTATATATAAATCATTAAATCTGCAATCTTTTCATTTAATAGTGTATGAAGGATTGTAAACGTTCAATAGAAAGCTGACAGAGAGGGGCTCAGTGGCATTTATTGGTATAGATTTGCAATCATTATAAAAAAAGTGCATCTGATGTCAGATTGACCTTTTGGGAACAAAAGGTCAAATGAGTAATATTCCATAAAAGCAGGAACCTTGCATGCAAAATGTCCGACTCTTGTTTTTGGTTACTGACCGCCGTGGAATGGAAGGTACCGTCCATGGCTGCCAAACATAACAAAATAATCAACATTTCCTCCAATGACCAGGAAAAAAATCCCTTTATCAAGATTCACTTCTATGGTTGATCGTTGCTTAAAATGAAAAACTGACAACAAAACATGAGATATATTGCCTGCTAAGTCTAGCGAAGTTATAGTTCAAAACTTTCCAGATGACCTGAATTATTATTTAGACATAAACTGCAAATGAACTGGCAGATCCTGAACGCTGTGTCTTTGAAATTCCTTATCATTAAAGTTTAGTTTAGCTTAGATTTTAAAAGGTTATTTTTCTCATTCTTTTTTTCCACCATTTCCTCTTTTAAATTCTCCCAATTTATCCAGACAGACCTCTTCCCTTACGGACAGCATGATGGCTGAAATCACCTGACACCTCATTGACCTTCAAGTTCCAACTGCAGCTCCTGTTTATTATTTATTAGCAAAATAAAAGCACTTCTTATCTGTAAAATAAGGAAAGATTGGCTTTATAATCTAGTCTTTCTAACTTCATCATCCTATTTATGAAACTAAGTTTCCCAAGATACATTTCTACTCTTTTATTTTCAATAAAGGGAAACATGCCTTAAATACAATATCATGTTTAACTTAAATTATTTAAAATTTATCATTTAACTTATATATTCATAGTTTAATTTGAAAAAGAAATGTGCTGAAGTTCTTTCAGTGATTTAGAAATAAATGTTTTTTTCTTCTGTTTCCTCTTCATCCTCCACATTGGTCACACTGTGAAGGAGACAAAAATAAAATAAAAATATTTGTAGCTTTTGTTGCGTCTTGTTTCATGCGTAATGTGATGGTTGTAGAAGTTTTCCCATCTTCTAATCTTCACATTTAAACTTAAAGTTGTGCATTATTGTGAAATATGATAAAAAATGATCAAAGTTGTAGATGATTTGTTGATTAGATTTTTTTCATGAAGTAATCCAGGGATCAGGTGTGGCGAGCTGTCAACAACAGAACCATCAGTCATGCTTTTATAAACCTTCCCTACATGAGGGAAAAAAAACAAAGCTGAAATAAATCATCAGGATTTATGTTTGTAGGCTGTAAGAAACCATAAAGAGGACAACAGACGGGGAAGAAGATGCTCTAGTCAGAGCTAAAGAAACCATCCATGGTAAAGCATGGTGGTGGCAGGGTCATGCACCTTTCTTCAAACACAGGAAAGTTATCAGAAGTGATTGATAATATCACCAATATAAATAAGCCTTTGAAGGCTGCAGACGACCTGAGTTAAAGGTTTAATTTCCAGCCAGAGAAAGATGTTAAACATAAAGATAGAGACACAATCAGAGCCTCACTGGGAATAAGGTGTTCAGACCTACTGGATTTGAACACATTGGTGGGATCCGGGAGAACAGCCCACCTACCTCCATCAGCCTGATCTGTGTGAGAAGCATATTTGTTTGTCTCTAACCTCCTTCTGTCTCTTTTTTCCAGGTCTCCCTTTGCCAGCGTGACTGAGTATTCATTACTGAAGAACAACATTGTGCAGCTGTGCTTAGAGCTGACCACCATTGTACAACAGGTGCTTCCACACACCAAGCAAAAACTAGCTTAGCTTACATGTCAATGCACAATCCAATAGGTTAGGCTGCTGCCCCCGCGACCCGACCCCGGCTAAGCGGAGGAAGATGGATGGAATCCAATAGGTAGTCATGATTGAAGTAGAAAAAGGGGCATTAGATGTGACTCTACAGGAGCTTTCATTAACAGATGACGTATTTCACCGCGTCCCCAGAAAGGTCCTGATGGAGACTAAAATAGGCTTCATCATCTCCTGACCTCTCTGTTCTTGCTCCTCTGTGTTCATTTAGCTCGCTGCGCTCACGCTCCTCTTTAACAACACAGCTGCTGCAGGAAAACACGCTGCTCTCATTGTTTAGACTAAAACTATTGCTGCTCTCTTGGACCTTGGCTGTGCCCTCACAGTTAGAGTCTACTCGCAGCGTGTTTCAGTGTGCTTGTACTTGTGCCCAGAGTGAATCCTGCAGCTGAGCAGATAGCTCCCAATCCCCTATTCCAGGGGCCAAAGGAGATGGAACATAAAGGGGCCACCATAGGTCCACAATGGGCCAGAGGAGTCTGACGGTGCCAAGGATGCAGACAGAGAGACAAAGGTGGCAACAATGCCTGCATCAATACATCAAACAGATGTATTTACATCCAGTGGGAAATATGTTGAGACCTTCGGTCTCATTTCTTTGAAATAACCTAAAATAAGGCAATCAGTTTTTCAAATAGAAGAAAAAGTAGAAATTTGCTGGAACTTATGGATTAGTAATCCATAATCTTAAGTTTCCTTCAGCCACTGGTCTGACCAAGGACTCCTTTTACTCCTCCTTTTATACACATTAAGCAGGAAGTTAGAGAAAATAATCAAACTCCTCATACTGTTAGAAAACTGCAACAGAGAGATTTATTTCAGATTCACAAAGATTCCTGATCAACCATTAAACTCCATCTAAAGACCAGCTGCATGTTTAGAAACAGGTGGAGTTTCCTAAACTCTACTGAGATTTTACCTGCAACTACAAGCTTTGGTCACATGAAACTAAGTGAGCCTCTGGCAGCAGCTACTGCAGGTGGAGTTCATGTAAAAGACGGATAATGAAATATTTTTAATGCTGTAGGACTTTTTCTATTAAAGGTCACAGGAAAATGTTAATAATTTATTACATGATAAACTCAGCGATAACCTAAATATTTCAGATCTGGTCATTTAAGAGGATAATAATCCAACACTTATGGCCAAATCAGGTTTGGGAGGAGGAACGCTCAAAGATCTTTCTCTCTCTGTTTGCTGAAAGTCTATGAAATATTATAATGGAGACAAACTTTTCCATTTGGCAGAATCAGGTTGTTTGATTTACTGATGGGCTTAAAAACTCTTGTCTTGATTTAGTTATAAAATAGTTTCTTCCTGAACTCTAAATGAACTCATTGAGTTTTTTGTTTTTTTATTCTTCAGGGATAATAAAATCTGTAATAAAATATTTTGTCCACATCTTTACCAAAACCTACAGGAATAATGTAGCCGCTAAAGAACATGTGGCTTTCCCATTACGCTGCATCTTATGCGAATCGATAGTGCATGTTAGTGTGAAAACAGTCAACAGATCATGTTTTTGTTCTCTTCTACCCTGGATGCTGTATAGATATATATATTTAAGTTTTTCTTCATGTTTCCTTTCATTAATCGTTGCCTCCCCCTCTGCTTTCCAGGACTGCACCGTCTATGAAACAGAGAATAAGATCCTTCATGTGGTAAGTGTTTGTTTCTAATGTTGTTTGTTTTTGAATCATCTGACCGACATGTGGATGAATCCTGCACAAGTCTGCAAAGAGTATTTTTAGAGCATTTCAGAGACACATTCGATAAATGTTCCGAGCACTTTGCCATTTCACAGAGTTTTGTCAATCGATGTTATGTAGAATCTCTGATTGCTGTAAGAAGAGAAAACATTTTAATTGATTCTGCTTTGGGATCAAAACGCTTTCATTAAAAGTGTCACATCTGAGCTCACTTTGACTGAAATTGATTTGTTGTTGGTCTGTGGGTCTTTTTTTGTTTTAGGAAAAATGTGTGTTTGGTGTGTGCAAATAGGCTGCAGGCCTTTTGAAAGCCTGTGTGAGTGTGTGTGTGTGTGTGTGTGTGCGTGCAATGGGGAGCTGTCAGTGTCTACGTGTGAAGCAGAGTGAGCAGCTAGGGTCTGATCTGGGCTGACAGTCGGATTGGGAGGCTTCCTGTTGCCATTCCAGGTCAGGTGGAGGGAACCCAGTGAAAATGTGCTGATAAAAAAAAGACTAAACATTTAATAATTGAACTTTATTGATCTACATTGGAGAAATTCCCTCTCTGCATTTAACCCCTCCCCTTGGGGAGCAGTGGGCTGTATTTAAAAAATGTAGCTTCGCTCGTCGTGTCTCGTCTTTCAAAGGGATCCATCCTGAGCTAACGCAGAGAGATATCACTTCCATCTGATCTCTGATGTCACACATGAATCATATTAACATGAGAAAAATAACAACTTGCAAATTCAAGCTCAGTCTTTGCATTGGAACTGTAAGTTCTGGATGCATTTGCAATCTCAGGTACTTGACTAAAAGCTGCTCTTTATGAATCTGTAAATCGTGGAGGTCTGAGTTCAACAACGTGTTTTGCTATAGAAGGCCTGACTATCCCAGCCTGAGATCACATGTATCATGTGGTACGTCTGGTTGGTGGGTTTAGCTGCAGTGAGAGACTGGTGCACTTCACAAAACAGAAGACATCATGAGGAGATTATGAACAACAACACAGGAGCATTATGCTGGAATATTGAAGCAACATTTCTAGATATGTGCCAGGAAAGTTTAAGCACAACTGAGCAAAGACCATGAAGGTGACTGGCAACAAATTCTTAAACATGAAATAGTTATTTTGGTACCAGAGTTAATAAAGTGTTTGCAAAGACAAGCTGATGTGCAAACCCAAATTAAATAACATAACAGACTATGCTAACAGAGGGAAGTATTTGTCACAAGGCAGCCATTTACAGGGAAACCATATCAACTACTGATAAAACATTAAATTCAACACATTCAATAAACAAAATCAAAGCATAGTTTCTAATGTCTGTTATTTTTTTTATTTTGTTTAGAACTTATTATTTTATTCTTTTTTTACAGCAATAACACAGCCATACATCAATGGTACATAACACAAATGTTGACAATATAAAGGTTTGCATAAAATAAACATCTTAGTTTGATATCTTATGATCTCAGCCTGACATTTGTAGGCTCATCATCCTAAAACCCTAAAATAAGGGAACACTTTGGGTGGAAAAGCTAAACATTATTAGCCAAGAGACAAACTTGTTGGGCTTATTTACATCCACATATCTTCTGCTGGCCCCCAGCGCAGAATAAAAGTGTTTTTCTGAAGTCTTAATAGGTTATCTTTTCCATTTTATATAATTCCCTTATTTTTGTACCCATAAGTCATAGGAAGGAGGCTCCAACTGCATCCACCTGGTTGTAATGCATTTCAGGGCTGCTGTAAAAAGAACATTCAACAGATAAGTTTTGGTCCGTCCTTGCAATCCCTCCGGTATAATACCAAGTAACGCAACGGTAACATCCCTCAGTATAACCTCCGTGAAGATCTGGTTCATAGTCCTGTACACCTCATCCCAAACGTTTTGTAGTTTGGGACATGACCAGAAAATGTGTGTNAATACCAAGTAACGCAACGGTAACATCCCTCAGTATAACCTCCGTGAAGATCTGGTTCATAGTCCTGTACACCTCATCCCAAACGTTTTGTAGTTTGGGACATGACCAGAAAATGTGTGTTTGATTGGGGACCGCTGAGCCACAGTTTCTCTGACACAAGCTTGGTGCTCTAGGATCCATCTTGGCAACAACATCTGGGGTTCCTGAAATATCTACTAATAATTTTCCATTTATATTCCCGCCACGTACTGGAGTTTGTAACTCGATGTGTCTCAGTCCAGACTCCCTCCCATGAGATTATTCTGGCCGTCTCTGCCTCCCATCTTTGTTTTGTCCTAATTGGAATCGTTAAGGTTCATTGACAGAAATACACTATATAACTTTACTATCAATTTTTTATCTCCTCCCCCTTTCTGGTAATGAATTAGGAGGTTTTCAATTGGTGTGGGATTAAGCACTCTTTCCCAGTCCCTGTGTGCAATTAGAAAAGAGCGCAACTGTAAATATCTAAAGAAATCACTTTTCTGGAGATGAAAATTCCTGCATAGCTCTTCAAATGACATAAGGTTGTTCTTGTGGATCAACTGATGAAGAAATGTAAGCCCCAGTTCAGCCCATTTAGAAAACGTTTTGTCCAATAGATTGAGTGTGAGGGATTGAATATGTCCAATGCTTGATAAAGTTGATAAACCTCTTGGTAGCTTGAAAGAAATTTGCACTTTATTCCAAATGTCAAGAGTGGTTTTAGTCCACAATGCAGTTCCTTTACTGGAATATCTAAAAATGGCAAAACCTTTAATGCTCAATGCTCAGCCATCTTGTTTGAGAGTCCTGTTGGATCCATGAAATTAAAGGTTTTAACTGAGCTGCTCAGAAATAGTATTTTAAAACAGGAAGCTTGAGACCGCCTTCTGTCTTACTTCTTTGTAGTGTTTTATATTTTATGCGAGGGCGCTTGCTTTGCCATATGAATTTTGATATAATTTTATCCAATTCAGTGAATGTGGACTTAGGTATGCCAACCGCTAACATCTGGAACAAATACAGTAATCTGGGGAACAAATCCATGCGAATGGTTTCAATGCGACCGAGGAGGGACAAAGGCGATGCTGACCCCCCCCCTCCAGGTCATTTTTAATTACAGCCAATGTTTTACTGTAATTGACATGATAAAAAATCCTTTAATGAGAGAGGAATGTTGATGCCTAGGTATTTAATGCCCTCCTTTGGCCACCTAAAGCCGCTCTGTTGTTTAACCTCCAGTGGAATATTGCAATTGATATCTATTGCTTCTGTTTTATCAACATTTATTTTATAACCAGAAAAATTGCCATAAACAGAAATCATTTCCTTCAGACGTTGAATTGAGGATGTCGGATCAGCCATATATAGAAGTACATCATCTGCGTAAAGGGATATTTTATGTTCCTCTGTGCCAATCAAAATCCCTTTAATTTCATCATTGTCTCTAACGAGCTGGGCCGGTGGCTCAATGCTAATTGCAAACAAACGAGGTGACAGAGGACCCGCCTGCCTGCATCCGCGCTCCATCTTGAAACTCGCCGACCTGAAACCATTAACTCTTACAGCCGGCTAGGGATGAATATAATCTATGTATCCAATCTATGAATTTGGGCCCAAATTTAAACCTCTGTTATGTTTTAATAAGGTATCTCCATGATACGCGGTCAAAGGCCTTTTGGGCATCTTAAGATATTACAGCTTTCTTAGCTTTTTTTTCTTTTTGGTGAGAGATTATATTTAATAAACAATGCAGATTATTTCCATAATGTCTCCTGACAATGAATCCGGTTTGATCTGGATGTATGATTTTATTTATTATGACATTTAATCGTCTTGCCAGAATACCAGTTAGAATGCGTACGTCGACGTTAAGCATTGATAATGGCCTGTATGACCCGCAGTCATATAAGCCTTCTTTATGTAGTACAACTATCAGACCAAGATGGCGCCGTTGTTTTATTTTCTGAAGAAAAGCGATATGCTTCTAATAACAGTGGACTAACAATGTCTATGAAACAATTCATTTATGAAACCATCGGGACCAGAACTTTTATTATTTTTAAGAGAAAAGACAACATTTTTAATTTCTTCTTCTTGAATTGGCTGATCTAATTGTTTAGCTACAGTATCAGATAATTCTGAAGTATTTATATAATATTTAGTATAAAACCTTGTAAAATTCTGCAAATGTTTCAGCTTTATCTTTTGTTTTGAGATGGATTTATTGCTCGATTTCAGCTTTAAAACTTAGTTTGAGGACTGTTGTTTTTTAAGTCGGAAGGCCAAGAGTCTGCTCGCTCTATTTCCATTTTCATAATACTGCTGCTTGGCAAAACGAAGATTACCTTCTATTGTTTCTGATATCAAATCTTGGAGCTCTCTGCGTGTTTTATTTAAATCATTCAGGATCCTGGATGCTCTAGTCTTTTTATGTTGAAGATCCAGATCTTGGATTCTATCTTCTAAGTATTTCTGTTTGGCTGCCTTTTGTCTTTTTTTTGCTGTTGTATAGGAGATGATACTACCTCTTAAATAAGCCTTTGCACAGTCCCACAACATAATAGGAGATGTTTCCGGGGGATTGTTTATGTCCAAATAATTTTTGAGATCTAATTTAACAAAATGAATGAATTCTTTGTCATTAAGAGGGGAGGTGTTAAGTCTCCATTGCTTAAGCGATGCTGTCAATCTATATTCCACTTGAGAGTAACAGGTTCATGGTCAGAGGTTGTGATGGGAGATATTATGATATTCTCAACTCTGTGTATTCGGCCTTGGCGGTAAAAAAACTAATCTATTCGTGAGTAAGATGCATGTTTGTTTGAGTAAAATGTAATATTTCTGTTTTTTGGGAATTTGTGTTTCATTTTTATGCACAAAATTTCGACAAAAATCTGACAAAATCAGTGAATCAAACATCCTGATTGGCTGAAAGGAGAGCAGAGACAGAGACACTCTGAGTTTACCGAACTAAACCTGCTGCTGACCAGGTTAGCTCTGGGAGGATGTTACTATGGCAACAGAAACAGAGGATGAGGAAACTCTCTTTGTGAAACAGAAACTCAGAGTGTCTCTGTTTTCAGGATTAGAAAACTTAGAGTTTTCAGTAAACCTGCTTCGTGAAACGGATCTCAGGTCACTGAAGCTAACAGGTTGTTCAACCTGGACCAAATTAGTCTCTTAGAATCTTCCAATCACGAGAGAATGCATTGATTGATGTTAACGCTATTCTAGGAACAGATTTGCATTGATTGTCTTTAGCTGGTGTTATGCTAGTCACTGTTACTAGACAGAGTTTATTGCCTTTCATTTACTCCCTCAGTCAGGGGTTATCAATGTTTTTATTTCTGATGTAGTTTTATGCCCAGAGTAGGTCCTCTAGGGCCGATGGCCTGCAGGTTTTAAGGGTTTCCTTCCTTCAGCACAGCTGCTTTTCTTTAATAGTCGATTAACAGGTTGTTGCTGAACTGCAATCATCGGAATCAGCTTTGCTGAAGCTGAGAAACCAGGAGAACATCGGCCCTCCAGGACCGACATACATGCCTGCACTAAACCATGTTTACATTTCCTAGTTACTTCATCCAAAAAGAAACTGATTTCATTCTAAAATACAAACACAAGTTTCAAACTCACATAGTAATTATGTCAGCAAATGATTGGAAATCTATGAGCAAAAACAAGAAGAATCAAAGCCAGGAAGGAACAAAGGTGCCACATGATAACTAAGAGAAATGCATCAGATATATCATCGTCCATCACTGTGTTTTATTTAGAATAAATAATAAGTCAGCATTAGAGTAACTTTCTAAAAGGAAAATATATCAGAGTAAATTCTACTGTCAGAGTTGAACTAAGTGCTAAATATTGCTTGTTGCGCCACTTTCTTGTTAAAGCAGACGGTTTATCTTCTGAAATTCTTTGAGTTGTCTCCTAAAATGCAAACATGGCAAGACTGTAAATGTTCATAAAATAACGTTTACATCTGACTGCTATGAGGACATTTTTAAGACTAAAGTTGTTTAAAGGTAGCTGGTCCCATTGGCTCCTAAAACCAAATAATCTGCATTTATTCCAATGGTAAAAGTTATCCTTTTGTCCCTTTCAAGGATTAGGATTATCATTGGGATTATTACTGCTGTTTTAACAATTATTTTTAAAATAAAGACATTCAGCTGATAATAGTACAGCAGAAATGAACATTTGCTCTATCGGTTGAATATGCAGTAACCTGCACATAATTCCAGCTTTAAATCCTGCATGGGTCTCATGTTAGTAACTATGGTGCAGTTTTCTGTTGCTTTGCTTCTTAATAATGTAAAACTCTCTGCTTCCTCCACTAGACTGCAGCCTGCAGCAATCGGATGGACAGCATGTGTGTGTTCAGGAAAGACAGTTATAGCAAGTAGCTGTGTGTGTGTGTGTGTGTGTGTGTGTG